ACACACACACACACACACACACACACACACACACACACACACACACACAGTGAGAAAAACATTTCTGAGCACATCAGGAACATCCAGGTTTCCACTGTTTCTGTTTATGATAATCACCCAGCCAAGCATTCCCCATCCTCCATCCTGCATCAGTGGGAACATGTCATCCTTCTAGGCCTGGCATCTTTCTAATGTCACCTCCTCCATGAGCCCTCCCAGTTCCCTGATCAAGAATAGCCAGCACTCCTTCGTCTTCCCTCCCTTACTCTACTTGCCCTCAAATTCGTGTGTCTCTTGCTCCCACGGTAGTTAGCTATCTACTCGTTTGTTTCTCCCAATAAATAACAAATTTGAAGTCCTTATTCCTCTTTGAATCTCCCCATCATCTCACGGTGCCTTGCTATGGAAATGGTAGGAGAATCTGGCTTTTGAGACGGGGCTAAGGACAGGTTGGAAACTCTGGCCACAAGTGTATGATCCTCGCTGAGGACAGAGCTCAGCAGCCAGGCTGGAGGGAGGTCCATGGGTGGCCCTAGTGTCCCTGGGGAGATCCTGCCTTCTCTTGCCTCTCCATTTCCAACCTCCCCTGTATTTGCTTTGATTTCCAGGTATTGTGTCAGTGCTCTCAGTATCAACTATGGGTAATGATAAAGAAATACAAATGTAACATCCCTGTCTATTCCTATCTACCCAAGATAATTTAAAATATATAATACATAAGTATCATACATACCTACTCATTTCTATCATCTATGTTTATAACAGAAATGTGAAAACCTAACCAAACACCTACAAAGCAAATAAGAAATTAAAAAATGATGTTGCTGAAAATAAGATATTTTTAAATGGGCAAACATTTAAATATTTTTACATTTTGATATCATATCATCATCATCATCTTACTTTTTCCCCTTTGGCCCCAATTATGCCTGTGATGCCTCGTAATCCTTGAGCTCCCTGGAAACATAAAAAAGAACGGTGAATTTTTTTCAGTTGAAGCACACACTTGTTTATCTCATCACAAAAGTTGCTCCAGAAGGATGTTAACATAACTCAAGGTAACAATAAGAAATAGTGACATTATGTACACAAATGTTTCTAGTTTAGAAAGAAAAATCCAAGGAGAATTCTTCTGATGGTAAACACTCTTCTAAAACCCTGAAGACGTACAGAAACCTGGAGTTGGAGCAATTAACTGATGACAAAATAGTAAACATCATTAGCTTAAGAGAAGTTACAATCATGTATTTTGACTTACTTTTTAACTCAGGTACAGAATACACTGCCATCTCTCCCTCCTTCATAATTTGTAGCTTGGTTACACATAAGATGGTTGTGATTTTAAACTTTGGAATGATTTTTCCCCACCAATGTATGCCATCAAAGGCCATTCAGTTTCCAGGCTAGTCCACAAAAGCTTAGGACCTGCAAAAGGAGCTGAAGTCTCTACTAACCACTAGGAGTCACTACTCATTACACCATCTCTATGATAGAGGCATTCTGCATTCCCCCCTGGGGCACAAGGAATCCATCTCACCCCATCTCAGGCATAGGAGTGGGTAAGCCTAAAAATAAGGATGTGAGTCTGATTTCTAGAATCTTTTTAAATACTGAAATGTCACCATTCTCCATTCTCTGGCCCCACAGGAGCAGGGCTCCAGGAGTGGATCCTGTAAAGGCGGAACCTAGGTGCTCTCTTGGCAGGAGCAGCAAGGGGATGCTCCTTCAGGAAGGGGGAGTGGCCACTTCTGAGCAATTTGTTAACTGGCTTAAGATCAAGTAGCTCTAGGCCAGTCATTCTCTTGTGTTCTCCCTTGGAGAAAATGGGGAAATTCTCTGGCCAGCCCTGGCTGCATCTAGATAAGTCACAAATTCTGTGTAGATCAGTTAGGAATGACCAGAATGTGTAAGATGATCCAGCTCAGGATAACCACTTGGGATATAAAATGAGAGATGGCCATTTCAGATTAAAACTGCTCTTTCTGAAGATAATTCTACAAAAAAGAATTCCAAAAATATCTGAGCCAATACTAGTGACATGAGCATGCCATGTATTATCTCTTCAGGTGACCACTTTGAAGGACAGAGCTTATGTATAAATGTTCCCCAAAGCATTTTTTTTTTAAATCTGTGCATTACTTTATAGATGCACATTTCAAAAGTGAACATTTGTGAAGTTTATAGAAACATTTTGGCAAGCCTGCTGCCAAACACCAGAAGGTCAGCAAGCACTAACGATAGCCCCCAGTGGGCCACTGGAGCCATGCAGAACCCAACAGACATCCTTAATCCATGGAAACATTTTTAAATGCTGCTTGCAAAATCCTGTTCTCAGGATTTGGAAGGATAGCTTTAAAAATAACTTTAAGTCCCCACTAAATTTTCATCAGATCAACAACAAAAAAAAAAGCATACGTCTCTTACACTGTTGCTATCTCCTTCCTACAAAATAGAGTCCATCTCCTTATTTTCTTCTTTCAAAGGCTTAGGGAAGACAAGCTTCTGAAATAAACACCTCGTATTCCTCCAGGTTTCCTTAAAGTTCTCGTGTGGCTTAAAAACAGGAGGCCATTCTTAGAAATGCTCGGACTCATTTCCTTTAGCTGGAATTTCCTTAAACTCTGGGGTAAGTACTAATCTACACAGCTCCCTGAACTCTTTCATAAAAAAAGCCAGTCGTTTGGGGAGGAGCAGAGCAGGACAAGGAGGGGTGGCCTCATATTTGTCCTCCCTAACTCTTCAGTTCCCGAGAGCAGGACCTGAGCCTGTCCCTTACGTAGTGAAGGCCTCGGCTAGCTGCAACGTTCGAGGAATATCCAGAAATTATTATTTCCATAATTGCGAACTACTCATCTTGACAAGAAAAAAAGTGTGACAATTCTACTTTTGTATACAAAAGTAGCATAAGTTTTGATGTAGCAAACACTTTAAATTGAAGTATGCCAATGCCCCAAATTACCTCATTGTGCATATAATTGCAGCAATCTGCCAAAGCACAAGGGACTAACTTTTTATTAAAAGACATGATTACAAGCAATTAAGAATGTTCTAATTATAATGATTACATGCTGGCAGAAGATACTTAAATCCAGTGGATGATGTACCTGCTGTATATTCAGGGTACATGAAATTTTCTATATCAGGTGAAAGTACCATAGAATATAAAATATATATATCAACCTCTTGTGTTCAATATTTACTTTCAGCTAGTAAATGAATGTATGTAATTATAAGTAAATTTTTTTCTGTTAAAATGGTGCTTGAATATACAATGGGGATCCTTTCCTATTTTGAAAAATTGGAAATCTCCCAATGCTGGCTTGGTGGGAAAATATGTTAATGTAATACTATTAATCCAAATGCTAAAAAGGAAATATTCCAAAAGTCATGAAAAAGAATATTTGCATATCCTAGTTAAATATTTTTTAAAAATACTTTACTGGAGGTCCTTGAGCTCCAACTTCTCCTTGTTCCCCCTGGTCACCTTCTTCACCCTAATAAACAACAGAAAAGCATACCAAATGTTATCCCAGCAAATGAGCATAGATAGATGACTCAGCACATCCGAAATTCACTTGGCATCCCCTGAGTTATGTTACTATACCTTCTTAAATTAGTTTATATGAGTAATACATATTAATTGTAGGACATTCAGAAAATACAGAGAAATATACGAATAAAGTCACCCAAAGCCCACCTTTCAACTATAAATATCAGTAACATCTTAGGTGCTTCTCTATAATGGGGTCATGGGGAAGGGAAGGACAGAGACAGAACATATATACATTCATGTTCCCAGTGTGTGTGTGTGGGGGGTGTTATTAGGAAAATATGATCATGCTATGCAAACTTTTCCAGCAACTACAAGATCATTTATTTGTGATTTTCACTTTTAACTTTTCTTATTACAATTTTTCTACCAAAACAATTTTGAAAAAGTATTTAAATCAGTCCTTCTTTTCTTGGCTTGTACATTTGATGTCACCCACAGAAAAGCTTTCTCCATACCCAAAATATAGAAATATTCATATGTATTTTTCTTCTATAACTTCATAGTTTAATTTTTTACATAGAAATCTTTAATTGATTTTAATGTAAAATATAAAGTAGAAATCTATCACTTTTGGAGGTGGGTGGGGGGATGGGATAACTGGGTGATGGGCATAAAGAAGGCCATGTGATGTGATAAGCACTGGGTATTATATGCAACTGATTAATTACTGAACTCTACATCTGAAATAAATGATGTACTATATGTTGGCTAACTGAATTTAAATTTAAAAAAAGAAATCACCTGGCAATTGGCCACTTTCTATAATATCATTTATTGAATACTAGATTCTCTCCACATAGGCTGGAAAATTCTTCTTTAACATATAGTAAATTGTGAAATATACTTGTTTCTAGATTTCCTACTCTGCTCTTCTCATCTGTTGTATGAATTTGCCAATACCACATTTTAATTATTGAAATTTTATAATATATCTTAGTCTTAGAGCGAATTCCTTTAGCTTTATTTTTCATTTATGGTTACTCTTATTTTTCAGTTTTTCCTAAATGTTTACTCTTCCAGATGCACTTTAGAATTATTTGGAAAATCCTCACAAAAATACTACTTGTTTTATATTAGGACTACACTAAATTAAAAGATTAATATGGAGAGAATTAGATTCTTTACAATACTGAGTCTGTCTTGGAACTCAGTGTATCTCCCTAGTGAATCAAATCTTTTTCTTTCCTTCAATAAAGCTTTGCTCTTTCCCTCATATTAGTCTTGAATATTTAAGTTTGTTCTAAGGTATATTGACTATTTGGTAGCTATTGCCAATGGAATCTTCTTCCATTTTGTTTTCTAACTAATTATTGTTTGACTTTTTGATATTAATTTTATAACCTCTGATATACTTTAAAATGTTAGTATATATAATTTAGTATATTTAAAATGTTAGAAAAGAAATACAACTGCTGTTTCTTACAGAAAGATTACTTGACTGACTCTGAAAAAATGTTACTTTTCCCTCTGACAAGGTTTTCTTTTTAAAGAAATATACTGCCCTACATTTCCTGTGGTAATGGATATCTTAAATTGTAAAATTAATCATGAGAAAAATTCATTTTTAATATTATGTGCATAATATTAGATAAAAATCTATTTCTGTTGCTTATTACATATTTCAATTCATCCATGTTCTTTCTCTACAAACTATACCTTATAGAGACTGTCACACACACACACACACACACACACACACACACACACACAGAAATACAGAAAATTGAACAGCAATATTAATATAGAACCTTTGGGCATAACTGCAAAGAACTAGGTTATGCCTAAATCATTTATACTTGACTTTTGAATCAAGTATTGAGAGTATTACATAGTGGTTTCACTCTCATAATTTTATTCAGATTATATTCCATAAGAATATATGACTGACAGCGAGGAGAGGCAGTCCCAATGGGAAAGCCAGTGAATTAGCTATTTCAAGGAATGGATAATCAACACATGTGTGTAATTAACTGCTATATCTATGTCCCTGCCTAACTATCAAAACAACAATGATTGATATATGTGCACAGTAAGTTTTCATTAGCAAGGTTTGTGGTATAGTAAGTTTTCATTAGCAAGGTTTGGGGTATTTTCCTACAGATTCCAGGATAAACCTTGGAGTAATATAGTTGATTTAAATATTTTACCAGCAGATGAATAGCACACAACTAATCAATAACCACAACATAATGACAAATTTAGGAATAGAAATTTATTATCATTTTACTGAAAGACTTTTGACTATTCATTCCTATATCCATAAACAAAATTTAAAATCTTCATTAACTAATTTGTAGAATAAATTCAAGGCAGAATTGTGAATCCACTTTCAGTTTACAGTTCAGTGCATCTATTACACTTTTAAGGTTCATTCTTCAATGAACTATTGTCATCCTATCTTCCCATGTAAATTTTCAAAGACACCACTGAAAGGTGTAAGTGACACAACATGTGAAATAAATTAAAGGACCAATAAAATTTTGGCCAATTATCTCACACACCCAAACAATTTTCAGGTTCTTCACTGAAAATCAAACCAAATTTGAGAGTCTGGATAACTAACTTGTATAGGTATCAATAATATTAGTTTCTTGGGGAGAGGGGGAAAATACTCATTGACAGCTCCATCCCCAAATGGGGTTGTAAAAGTTCCCCCAAAGAAAAGGGGTCACTAAAAGAAGAAGGAAGAGAGCATGGCACCAAAAATAACAGAAGTCTACCATATCTGTTTGACTATATGCATTAACTCATGAATATCTTTTGGTATAATGTGATATCCTTACATACCTTTTTCTGTGGTTAGATAATATTCTATTATACGGATATGTCATACTTAATTTAGCCAGTCTCCTGTGGTGGGACATATTTTTTTCACTTCTGTGCCCCTGGCACTTAGAATAAACCCTGGCACACAGCAGGTACTTAATAAATATTTGTTGAATTTTTTTCAACTATGAATTTCAAGATTTAATGGGGGAATGAGCATGCAGAAAAATTTCTAAAGTACTCAACTTTTTTCTACTTTCTCCAATTTGACATTAAGAACCCAGCTGTTACATTCCAGATAGATAAAATGCCTTAATTACTCAGGGCCCAAGTAATTAAAGACTAGAAATAAATGTCCAAACTGTAATAGGGTCGAGAAAATTGGCTTACTTATTCTGATTATCTCAGGTTGTTCAACAGACTGATTTTAGCTAGAGTTCAAGGATATTAATGCCTGACGATATAATAAATTGCCTCTCCAGTTCTTAACTTCCAAAGAAAAAAACCAAGTTTCTGCCTCCGCCCAATAAAGGTATAGAAGCGCACAGTCAACAAAGTCTAGAAAATCCACATTAATAAGAACAGTTTGACTTTGTAAAATATCACAGAATTAACAGGGACAAAACTTCTGTTATGCAGGAAGTAAAATTCTTAGACAATTTACACCAGTGGATTTTAAAAAAAGCAAATAAGTCATCTTACTTCACATTTTTGCCTTGGTTTTTCTGCAAGGCACGCCAGCCCCAAGGCAAGTGGTGCTGTGGATTCCATGTTTCTATCCAGATAATAACGTAAGTCTATCACTCACTTTTAAATTACTCAAAATCTAAATTCTATTGAAATGGAGTCAGAAACAGACAAATTATTTCAGAACTTAAGATGAGAAGCTATCAGCTCTCAACCTCCTGTTTGCTAGTGTCAGCACCACTTGTCATAAAATTTTACACATGTCATAAAATTTTGTTTAGTGCAGTGGAAAAACTAGCTGAATAATGTTTGACTACCAAAAGCATCAAGGAAAAAAAGCTGAGTGTGATTGATTTCAAAAGAAAGCAAGGAGCAGCAACACAGGAAAGAATGAAATGTATGGTGTACTATTGTTTCTTGTAATTGAACAACATGAGAATATTATGCTTAGTCAGAATATCTATGCAGCTACTGAAAACCTGTCAATTATCATTTGAAAAGGAAGGATAAAATAGCATGCTTTCTTATTCCTTAAAATTCCTTGTAATAAAAGTAATCACTACCTCCTAATCACAGTTTACCCACTATATACTCATTTTTCTTACCTTGTGACCTTGTCTTCCAGGTTCACCAGTTTCTCCTTTAGCCCCTTTATGACCCTAAAAATGCATAATTAACAAGTAAATAAATTAACAAATTAAAAAATAATTCTATTGGGTTTGTCACAGAAAGTGGTCAGAAGGTTCATAAAGTGATCTTGCTTCCCTAAATCTGTGTCAGTGTGCTACCCAGAAAAAGGTTATGTCACAAAGAAAATGACTGCCTTCAATAACCTTAATACCACCACGTGTATTACATGACTAGTGTATATGATAAATATTAGCTCTAGTTAATAGAAAAACACTGTTCTAGAATAACAAAGCTTCATTACCCAGTTCGGCAACATGATGTATTACCGGCTGATCCCTAGATCCCTCTGTCGCAAACTTCCTCTCACAGCTGGGTTAACAGCTTTAAGCCTTCTCCAGCATCAGGAATTTTTCCTCAAAGATGACAGTCCTGACCGAGCTCAGCTGGCTATCCCCTGCTCTCTCCATGCTGCTCCGAAAACCCTTCCACCTCCTCTATACCCACTTACTTCTTGGAGGTGGAAAAAGAGCTGATATAAGAAAGGGAGCTCCCCAGATGCACGACTTCCACCTCTTCTTGTACACAATTACAAATGCAAAGGGAAAGCCATAAAGGGCAGTCCATGAAAGCTGCATAGCATGAGAAGAAAATGCCTCTCTATTCTTGTCGGGCCACTAGTTCTAAGCATGTGTGTGCTTTGGGTGGTAACATGAGGCAGATGGGAAATGAACATTCCAAAATTAAGTCTATCAGAGCTTTCACCCTTGGAGACTTTCTTGTTCTGACAGTGTAGGTCTTGGTGAAAAATAAGACACCAATCCAGGACCAGGGGCCCCTGGGTGGCTCAGTCGTTAAGCATCTGCCTTCGCCTCAGGTCATGATCCTGGGGTCCTGGGATCGAGCCCCGCATTGGGCTCCCTGCTCCGCGGGAAGCGTGCTTCTCCCTCTCCCACTCCCCCTGCCTATGTTCCGGCTCTTGCTGTGTCTCTGTCAAATAAATAAATAAATACAATCTTTAAAAAAAAAAAAAATCCAGGACCAAATCTTCTGCAGTTGTGAGAACCCACTAAACCAACCTTAGAGAAAACCATAATTGGAAAACCAGTGCCCTGGGGCCTTTCAGATCATAGCAGAACTCCTCTGGTCTGGAATTTTCAAAATCACCTCAGACCCCATAGACTAGAGAGAAAGAGCCACTTAACCCCAACATTTGGTATTTTTTATGAGAAATTTTGAAGCAATTATGATATAGAGTGAGAGAAAAACATTTTGGGGATGTCTCTTTTCTTGCCTACTTTGCATTGTTTTCCCAATTTTTTAACTAAAATAGTTTCAAATACATTATGGGTGCAATTACTCCCCAGTCTTCCTTCATAGGAAGCAAACTTTGGAACCTTAATCTGGTGTTATAGCGTCTCTCGAGCCAGTACATTTTACTGGTATTTCCTCCCTGAACAAGAGAAGCACCATGTAATCAAACATCCATGTCTCCATGTACCTGCCAGGGGAACCAGCTGGAGTTTCTAGGACTGAAGAAGGACCACAGACTAAGCCGAAGAATAAGCAAACACAGACAGGCCTAATCCGTCAAAATGGGGTCTTGCACCATAAAGGACAGTGTTTACAGGAAAGGATCTATTTTTTCTCTATGGATAATACTCTTGAATATAAAATACTGAAATTATTCTCTCACCCTCATGCCTGGTAAGCCTGGATATCCTGAGCGACCTGGTGGACAGGAATTGGGACACTGCCAAAGAGAGAGAGGTAGAGAGAGCATAAATTAGAGCCCCCCCTTTATGACAAAATGGTACTGTTTTAGGGATTGCAGCTTCAGAATCCCAGTATAGTTATATTCATTAAATAAGTCTGAATATCCCTTTTTTTCAATATTTCATTTTTAAACTCAGAAATATTCCTAGCTTACAGAAAAGCACAGAGAATAGAACAAGCATCCCCCACGTGTTCACCATCCAGATTTAATAAATGCTAATATTTTGTCATATTTATTTCAGATTTATTAAAGAAATAAAATGTTTCCAGACCTAGTATACCAAATGCTTCCAACATAGTGTACCACAACCTGATCCTTTCCCTTTCCCACTTCCACCAGAATAGCTCTATCGTGAGGTCCACAAAAACCCTTGTCAAATTGGCCAAAACTGCATTTATAGTACAGTTTCCCAACATCATTTGAATATTAGTCTATAAGTAAAATAAGTTTCAGAGGGAGTTGTTTGACTTCTAGCTTCTGAAATTGGGGTGCTCTGGTGAAAACGATGCCTTAGTCATGAAGTAAAAAGACTAGGGAAAAGCAAAAACAGGGGCGCCTGGGTGGCTCAGTCGTTAAGCGTCTGCCTTCGGCTCGGGTAGTGATCCCAGGGTCCTGGGATGGAGCCCTGCATTGGGCTCTCTGTTCAGTGGGGAGCCTGCTTCTCCTTCCGCCTGATGCTTCCCCTGCTTGTGCTCTCTCTCAATCTCTCTCTGTCAAATAAATAAATAAAATCTTAAAAAAAATTTCCATAATGAAAACCACTTATACAAACCATCAGCCCACTAGCGCAATGGATTACTCTGCTATCCATGTAAAGTAAAACACAGGAATACGACATATTCCAGCAAGATAATTTTAAAGAGAACTCATCTGAAGATTACATTGTCTTTGACTTAAACTGTGTTTCGTTCAAAGGTAAACATCTTACCAATGGATCTCCTTCATGAAAGCCAATTGTTCCCTAAAGTAAAGAAAATATTAAAGTTAAGAATATAGTTAAATACCCTATTCAAACCTACTTATAATAGAAAGTCCATTGGACAAAAATATAATAAAAATATTTGTTCAATAGGATATAAGGAACAAATAGCAACATATAATATGCTAATATTCTTAAACTTTGACTCATGGGCATATTCCTTTTGAAGACCCCTCTTTCAGGGAGCTGAAAGGAACTGAAATGAGAGACAGAAGAGATAATATGGGGAATTCTGGATCATACATCTAAAATATGAATTAGCAGGGCACCCTGTCAGTTGAGCATCTGACTCTTAATTTCAGCTCAGGTTGGGATCTCAGGATCATGAGATGAGCCCGCTTTGGGCTCCACTCAGTGGGTAGTCTACTTGAGGATTTCTCTCCCTCTCCCTCTGCCCCTCCCCCGACTCATGTGCTTTCTCTCTCTTTCTCTCTCTCTCAAATAAATACATCTTTTAAAAAACTGAAAAGAAATAAAATATGGATTATTTCCTACTTAAACTCCTATTTTTTAAATTGCTTACTGTGTAAATCCTTTGTAAACCTTAGTTCATTTGAAAATGTCCCTTTCATACAGCCAAGATTTAAGCATTTGAGAAATCACAAATGTCAAAGGACTTCAAATATATGAGTAAGCCATTCCCTGAGAAAACCACCTTTTAAATTATTGTTATTCCTCTGCTTTTCTGGCCTAAAAAGACTCATGCTCTGAATGGGTGAAAAAATTGATAGCCATTTTGGAATTTTAGAATGATGACTTGATTAACAAGTACTTCCATTTTTTGGTTCTTAGGTTTCTTTAATCCTAACTCTCAGATACAAGAAAATTCAAGCTGCAAATAACTTACACTGGGTCCTGGGGGGCCAGGGGGGCCAGGTGGTCCTCTTCTCCCAGGGTCACCCTAAATTATTTCAAAATCGTGACACAGTGGTTATACACATGTCAAAACACAGTGCATAAAACTGGTGAGGCATGAGAGAATATTACTAGAAACCCCCACAGAGCTCAACCATGCATAGACCTGCCACGAAAATCGATGGGTGGCCCATAATCCAATTAGCTCCACAAAACCAGAAGAATAAAGGAGCTCCAGTCTCACCAAAGTAATAAAACAAGGCAGGAGATTTGGGGGGGGTAAAAACAAAGCCAGTTCTTCTCTATAGAAGGATCACTTTATTCTGAAAACAAACTGGAAACACTACATATTTTTCTAGTTGATTTAAGAGAAACTGGAACAGCCAGTGCTGCTAGTGCCACCCAGATAATGGTAGCAAAAGAAGGCTTGCACCTGGCCTGAAGCTTTGGAAAGGAAGGTTAATCTCTGCAATGCCGACTCTCCCTCGTACTGTTTACCCACAAGCTATTACTTGGCCTGTCACCATACTCTTTTGCAAATGGGACTGAAAATCAAAGATGGCTAAATTCAAATGAAAATGGATTTCAATTTGTCTTAACATCCACAGTTTACTCCTTGCATACCTTTTCCTTCTTAATATTCTACCATAATTAGACAAAAGCATCTTACAATTAATTTAACCTTACAACCATTTCATATTTATTCATCTGTTCAGTGAATAATTTTATCAAATCGTAAGACATATAGAGAAGCAAGAATAAGTACTTAACACATGGCTCCTATTCTCAACGTGTTTACAATCATCTATCCTTCACATAATGTCACTACTTCTCAACATCCTTGAAATATTTATTGGATAGTAACATCAAGAGCTTAACTACGAGCAATTTCTCCATGGAGTTCAGCTCTTTATTGCCTAATGTTAAGTTCTGTTGGTTCAATTATAATTTAATGATCCTAACATAAATATACTTGGCAATAATTTTTGGCTATTCACTTTTCATTTCATGCAGTTAGCCTAATACAAAAGACACTGGACCTTAATTCTGGCTGAGAGTCTATTAGATGGAGGTGACACCCCTTTGATTGATCAGTAATTCTGGAAGTTGGGAAGAAAAGTTTAGCTGATAACTTTGGGAAAAAAATTAAAATCACTCTACAAAAATGAGGTAGCATTATTATCCCCTGGTTCCCATCAATATTATGAACTGGAATGATATTCATCTGCCATTTTTTTGGATTTGCAAGGGAAAGCATAGAGTTAGGGCAATTTGCCTTCCTAAGTAATGTCTTCCACTAAATCAGCAAATGTCTATCAAAATGCACTGCAGTACTCACAACTGGTCCAACACGGCCAAGCTCTCCAGGGAGTCCTGCTGCCCCAGGAGGACCCTGTATGTATATATGCAATGGAATATTACTCAGCCATAAAAAAGAATGAGATCTTGCCATTTGCAACAATAGAGATGGACCTAGAGGGTATGCTGAGTGAAGTAAGTCAGACAGAGAAAAACAAACACCATACGATTTCACTTATTTGTGGAATCTAAAACACAAAACAAGGAAGCAAGCAAACAAACAACAAAAAAAAAACCAAACTCTTAAATACAAACTGGTGGTTATCAGAGGGGAGGTGGGTGGGGGTAAAAGGTACAAACTTCCAGTGATAAAACAAGTAAGTCACGGAGATGAAAAGTATAGCATAGAGAACATAGTCAATAGGATGGTAATAACACTGTTCGGTGACAAATGATGACCACATTTATTGTGGTGAGTACTGAGTAATGTACAGAATTGTTGAATCACTATATTAGACACCTGAAATTAACATAACACTGTATGTTAATTATACTTCAATTTTTTAAAAAACGTAATTATAAATAAATAAAGGGACATGGTGACTTATGGGTGGTTTTATAATCTATCATAAATCATATCAAATATGATAAGTAATTGATTCAGGATTACATGTCTGTGCTAGCTTTGGTTTCCAATGACACAATAACTCATTTGACCAAATTTTAATTACTTAAAATGGAACAGAAATTTCTAAAATGAATAAATTTTTTGTTTAGCCACCTAAGGTCATGTATGTGGGACACTATAAATACCCTGGGTAGTGTCTGCTGGCAAGTAAGCTTGGGAGCTGAGAAACAGGCCACTGTTATAGACTTAGGCAGAAATAAACCAAGAGATGATACTTACAGGGGGCCCAGGAATACCGCGGCCCTAAAAGGTTAAAACAAAAATTGTTATGGTATGTGATTTAAACTTAGTATGAATACAGACAGACATAACTCAGTTCAAAAAAAAAGTATAAAATTTGTCTGGATATAAAGGACTGGGTATAGAAGAGCCATAAAATATAAAGGACTGGATATAGAAGAGCCATAAAATATAAAGGACTGGATATAGAAGAGCCATAAAATATAAAGGACTGGATATAAATGGACTGGATAAAGAAAAGCAAACATGGCTCTACTTCTAAAGGAAGAAGCTTGTTTCAGCACCTCAAATATAACTTGCATATCTAAGCTAACCCATAATACTTCTCCCAAACTTGTTTTTAAGAAAATCAAAGAAGTCATTCATGCTTACTGTCAGAACTTAGCATCACTCACAAAGAAGCACAACACAACCTGACAGTTTAAAGATTTTTTTGCTGTGTTCTATAAGAAATCTACATTAAAAGCAATACAGTGTACTGCTTTATAATTTATAATGTGATGTTTGGAAATCCTCCCAAACAAACATTTAGCACAGAAAGGCAAGGGGGGAAAAGACCAGAAGCTACCCTCTTTTGACAGGTAGGACTACGTTTCCAGACACCAAATCCAGTAGATGAAAATAAAATGGTGTCACTCCAGAAATGACTTACGATGGGATCCTAATTTAATATCCTGAATTTGATCTTAAAGCTAATTATTTTGTCTCCCTCTCCTTTATCCTTTATATCTCCTTAGCAACACCAAACTGCATATAACCAAGGATTGACACCACATCTTATTTATCCTCCTAGCTTCAATTCCTAACACAGGGCCTAATATACGTGAAACCCTAACTATATGCTTGTTGAACTTCATATAACTGAACATCAGCTGCCTAGAATCCCTTTTTCTCTATCTTTGCTTTCCAGGTTCAATATGCCCCTCCCCCCCCACCCCGCACCCCCATCATTTGGGAACCCTCATTACTCCTTTCCCTGATACACTGGCTTGAATAACTTTTATTTACAGCTATCTGTGATACCATATTCATGTTAGCTTTCATTCCAGACTTCATTTTCTAAAATATCCGTATATGGGCGCCTGGGTGGCTCAGTTGGTTAAGCAACCGCCTTTGGCACAGGTCATGATCCCAGGCTCCTGGGATCCAGTCCCGCATCGGGGTCCCTGCTCAGCAGGGAGTCTGCTTCTCTCTCTGACCCTACCCCCTCTCATGCTCTCTCTATCTCATTCTCTCTCTCAAATAAATAAATAAAATCTTTAAAAAGAAAAAAATAAAAAATAAAAATAAAATATCCGTATATGAAGCATTTAGTGGAATCAACATATACCCTGTGATAATGATATTATTATTTCTAATTATTTAGGCAGCCAAAACAAGCACGAATTTCACATGAGCAATATGTTTTAATAATAAGTGGGGCTTTTTCAAGGCATTTCAAGGCATTTGAAAAATCACTCCTATTTGATCATTTTAATATGTAAATCAATTTGGGGAATTAGTATTATGCTTGAAAATACCAAAGTAATCAATGTTATTTCATTACCATAGCTCTAGATGTTTGACAAATTTCAAATTTCACTCAGTTTTTTTAAAAAGGCATCTCTATAAGATGTTGAGCTCTGAGTGGAAAACTTTGGGAGAAAGGCCAGCAAGCTATTCATTTCTGAAAATAGCCTTAAAATGGAAAAGTTGACAGACAGTGAAATATGGCCATGAAAACAGTGCAAATAGAAAACAAAGACGAAAAATACAGATTAATGACAAGAACAAAAGAGGAATAAAGAGCAAAATGGAAAGGAAAACAGCCTGAGAACCTAGTAGCCCCCTTATAAATAGAAATAAGACACAAATCAGCCAGATCGGGCAATGCAGGAAAGGACTAACCGGGGAATCAGGCTAGTAATTATATCTGATGGTTGACATTCCATTAGAGATAAAACCAGTTGTGAAGTGGTGTGATATTATGGTCTAAACATCGAATATTTAGATTTGCTGTTATTATGCAAGAAATGTTTTCTATCAAGGGGAATGAAGGGGGAGTTGTCTATTGGGAGACATATGTATTTTATACTGTGCATTCAAATTTCTCTAAATGTTCAATATTCATACCCAGAATGCTTACCATAGCAGATAAGTCATGAACTCCTTTGTGATGCATATTATGTCAAAAGCTGCATTTAAACACTTCATAATAACAGGAAAAATGGGAGATTTTCAATTCTGTCACTTTACAATTACTTACTGGAAATCCACGAGATCCAGGAACACCAGGTTCTCCCTAAAAATAAAAACAGCTTCATTGTACTTAGCTTTTTGTGGCATGAATACGTAAACATGTAAATTGCATAAATTTTGAAATCATTAAAACACTCCATCTTGATGTTTTTAATTTAATTTAATTCAACTAAAACACGATTTTAGTTGAACAAGTGTATTTCCTCTGTTTCATAACTAATTTTTCAGTTGATTTGCAAACACTATAATGAAATTAAACTTCAGCATCTAATACCAGCAATTAATAGTAGGTGGCTAACTTACTTTGTGCCCTCTTGGTCCAACAGAACCAGGGGATCCATCAGGTCCTGTTAATCCCTAACAAAGCAAGATGATGTTAGAAATATTATAGCATCCTTAGGCAAAGCCCTAAGTGGATAATTACATTTTATTTATCAATTATGTATGGAATGGTTATCTTTGTACAATGCAAATATTTACAAAGAAATACCTTCCTATATTCTTATCAACTGCCTGTTACTTTCTGTTGATAAATTTTATCATAGTCCTAAATTCCTGCTAACAGGGTCCAATAATTTTAGTATTTTTTGTCTCCGCTTTGGAAAAACGCATATAACAATTATAGCATTCTAATAGCCACATCTAATGGGACAACAGATCTGGCTTTGTCAATTACCCATGTTTATGCACCTCCTTTACTTCATTTATAAAATAAAAATACTATATGTCTCTATATCTCTCAAATAGTGTTTTGAGAGTTAATAAAATATTTCTTCCATAGGAATTAAAAATACTCAATCTCATTATTGCTCTATAGCCATCTAAAAGCCCTCTGGCCATCTTCCAGCAATAACAATTGCTTACTGAAGAAACTTAACTTTTAAAATGAAATGTTTGAGAGCATGCATGTTTCTACACTATCTGCCTTAGTAAAAATAACTATAATTAAGTATATATTTTCATGTGTCACCTAGTATGTAGAATTTAAGCCAATTACTATAAAACATGTTTTATATATATTTAATACTAAATATATTATTTAAAGCATATCCTCCAAACATATTCATTTTCCCTACCAGAACTTTTTTTACCATCAACCTCAATATAAAATAGATTTTAAAGCATTAATAACACTACATTATACACCTGAATTTCCATATTTGATGAAGATGCATTTTTATTTAATTTTTTCTTTACTCTTTGACACTTTTAGATATCATTTTTAACGCAATATTGAAATTATGCCTTGTCAAAGATAAATATGTGTATCTGTATGTGTATGTACATATACATATGTGCATGCATATATAAACATCTTACAAAACTATTATCAAGATTTTGAAAAAGACTCAAATGGTATTTAATCAAGGGAGGGATTCCTTGCAAGTATGAAAGCTCTACTTAAAAACGCATCACTAAAATCCACATTTAATCTGTCACAGTCTACATATCACTAAAATGCTGTCATATAATTTATATAGAAAACTAGTTCACTGGCCACCATTCTTACATTTCTCTACATCAATCCATTTCCCTTATAAGTCCAAAGAGTGAATCAAAGGAAGTAGAAAAAAGTAAGTTGAAAATGTTAATTACTGGAAATTTACCAAAGAAAATTATTAAACACACATAAATTTCAATTTTTCAGAGACTGTCCTTGATTTTTAATCACCCTACTTAAATACAACACTTTAATTTGGGAACAAGCCCCAGCATCTTAGGTGCTGAGCACTGGTAGTAATGAAACGTTGGCTTTCGATTTTGGTAAACAAACCATACATCCAGAGCATTCTCTACAGGCACATATGGCACATAGATTGTACAAACCTGAGAACACATCTGACTAATGGAACCCCTAACTCCCACTTCATGTATACACCCTCCAAAATCAATCCTGGCCAATTTCCACACATGTAACCAACTAACAATCTTCAATCTGTGACTGAAGTAACTGACGAGATTGGTGAGCAATAGCTACAATATATGGTAGAATTTCAGCTGCATAATAATAAAGCAGAACCAAGTAAATGGCTGGACAACAAGGAGGCTGCTTCCAGGTCACTTCTTATTTAAAGTACCTTCTATAATACATAATAAATTATGTCTATCACTAGGAAGTTCTTTAAATTAAATTGCTAATACAGGGGCACGGGGTGGCTCAGTCAGTTAAGCGTCTGCCTTCGGCTCAGGTCATGATCCCGCGGTCCTGGGATGGAGTCCCACATCAGGCTCCCTGCTCAGCTGGGAGTCTGCTTCTCTCTTCCCTTCTCCCTCTGTGTGTGTGCTCTCTCTCTCTCTCTAGTTCTCATTCTCTCTCAAGTAAATAAATAAAATATTTTTTAAAAAAATAAAAAATAATTGCTAATACATTTTGGTGTCAGATGTTACAGTGAACTCTGTTATGAAATAGCTATGTAGAAAACCATAAGCTCGGGCGCCTGGGTGGCTCAGTTGGTTAAGCGACTGCCTTCGGCTCAGGTCATGATCCTGGAGTCCCGGGATCGAGTCCCGCATCGGGCTCCCTGCTCAGCAGGGAGTCTGCTTCTCCCTCTGATCCTCTTCCCTCTCGTGCTCTCTATCTCTCATTCTCTCTCTCTCAGATGAATAAATAAAATCTTTAAAAAAAAAAAAAAGGAAAAAAAAAAAAGAAAACCATAAGCTCCATAAGGACAAAGACTGCATGTCCGTTATAATCCAGGCACATTGCCCCTGGCGTCTAACACATACTCAATACATGAATACTGAATATTTAATTTAAGTTAGTCTATTAGATGGAAGGATATGACACTTATCCCTCTACATCATCTTTATTTGGGGTTCTAATCCCAACTTTGCCACTTATTAGCTGTGCAACCATGACAAGCTGCTTAACTGCACAGTACCTCAGCTTCTTAATCTATAAAATAGGTATAATATTAATATCTACCTGATATGGTAATTTTGAAAATTAAGTGCAATATTACACACAAAATGCTTACAACAGTGCCTGATAGAGTGGGCCCTGAATAAATGTTAGCTATTCTTATTATCATCATTATTATATGGTCAGCCCTGCTATAGATGTTGTGAAGAGTTCACCTGAAGTATAAGACATGTTTCCTGCCCTCTGGGAGCTTAAAACCTCATACAGAAGGGGTTCTGCAAACAAACAAATGAACAAACAAATATCTAGATACTAACCATGGGTACTGTATTTTATGGCTCGCTCAGATTTCTTTGATGTGTGACTATTTCCACTTACACTGAGCTTTCGGAATAATTTCTTAATAACTCACTATTCTAATCATATAAGCATCTGCCAGGGATAGTAGTTGTATACATCCTGAGGATGTTCTAATCTCTTTCCTGAAACAAGTGGCATGGTTTAACTGTAATGCTTATATTTAATTCTACTTCTTCTTCTGCCTACCTTAGATGGATGTTATAAGAATGAATAAAATCCTGTTTTCAGAGCTCACTGAGCATGTCACAGCAAATAGTGCCAATAAGAATATCTCTATTGATTATTGATAATAACACAGTTGTCCTTTGCGTGCAAGGTTATAACCAAGCTCTGACTTCTCTAATTTTACATATAAACATATACATACAATCTCCCACATTTATATTTACACACACACAAATTCCATTTTGCAAGGATTCTTATCTGTCAAAGAATTGACAGAGAAAAATATTACCAGTGGCAGAAAGAATTGCTTTCATATGAATGTTTATGAAGATAAAGTTCTGTACAGGGATGATACTGAAGCTGTGTTCTGAACTTTCATGCTGCTGCTTGGCAGAAAACACCAGCCCTCAATAGTAATTTCCTTCCAACATTCCAACTACTCAGCTCGTGAGACTCAAGGCATAATTCTACCAGCATAGCTGCCATGAATCCTTCACATTTTCCGTCAAAAAACCCACTTCACTTAGGATAATTACCCTTTAAATCATGTTCCTTCCATATTCTTCCAAATATCATCTGATTAACCATTTGTTCACATTACCAAAAAGTATAGCCTTGCAATGAACCAAAGAGCAGAAGACAAAGAGGTTGGAGGTTTAAGGTCCCACCACTACACTGAGGTTCACCTAACAAGAAAAGATCACTGGAGCTCTCCTGCTTACTTAGCTTCCCTATGGCCAGGGACAAACAAACAGCAAACTGATCCAGTTACTGATTTTTCATTATTCATTATTCTCAATGCCTAGTCTCAATCTGAGGTAAAAGATTTGTTTATGAGCCAAAGAATACAGTAAGTCAGAATCTTGTAAGCCCCATGTGGCTTCACGTCAATATCTGGTGGAACCATACCAATATTTACAAATAATTAGAAAATACCAATTATAAATTATTCTTACAATCCATTGAATTACCCATATCATTTTTCTTGGCTGGGAATTCGGATAACTAAAAATTCACTATCACTCTTTTTCTCTCTATTTTCTCTGATTATCCATCTATTTAAGATACTCATTTGTAGCCACATGAGGCAAAACTATCTGGAGAGAAAGCGAGTCTAAAAATGAAGAAATCTAGTTTCTTTCACTATCTTAGCCACTTAATAACTCTGGGTCCCTGAGGAAACTACTTGTCCTCAAAATTATTCAGTATTCTTATCTCCGGAGAATAATATTAGCCAAACTTTCCTTCCAGGTTATGTAAGGTTAAAGTGACTGCACTTGAGGAAAAAAGTTCTACACAAATGCATATTAGTATAGTTAACTTTTTGCTTAAGTATAGTTAACTTCTGTTCTAGGAAATGCCTGAAAAACTGGTACATACATGGACGTCTTACTACGATACTGCAACTATAGACCAAGACAAAAACTCCTTTCATTGTTAACTATATTGTACCTCAAAGATTTTTTAAGCACTTTCATTTGTTTATCCAAAATTTCTGTTTAAATGGGGGAATTACTTTATAAAGCAAAACCAGGCATCGTCTTTATGACCTTACAGTAAAAGGTAAAGAAGAATTTGTAGCATGTTGAGCATGCTACACAAGCACCATAAAACTGATGCACAGATAACTCTAGCCCTCTGTATGAAAGTATTTCAACTCAATACCAAGGGAAGACTCCAGGTGATTAGTTTATGCTTCAACCACCACAAAAATTAATAGTAATAATAATGTAATCATAAATTTTCTTTTCACACAAAAGGCAGATCCAAGTTTCATAGAAATGCAGAAATAAATCCAACCCATATTGGGCTACTGTTTTATAGAGTAGCCTTGGATTTATCAGACCTTTTTATTATGATGTGACAGTTTCAAGTAATTCAATGTTTTAAAAAGAACTTGAAAACCAACAAGTTATATAATTTCAGTTCGTATTATACAAATATTAGTTTGATATTCAGTTTGTATTATCCAAATATTAGTTCTTGGGGAATTCTTGCACACTCACTTTACATCACAGAGAAAGTTCAAACTTGGGGCTCTGAACTGTAAAACAAAATCTTTCCTAAAGTACTAAATAGCATAGACAAATACCCTCATAATGGTAATCTTTGTAAAGAAAGCCCATCTTAATAAACACTAAAATCTAGCGGTTTTTTTCTTCAATATGTAAAATCTATAGTCAAAAATTCTTGGGAATTATAATCATAGGTTTTCAGGTGCTTTCTTTGATTTAGAAAAGTCTTTAGGTTTTGGAAACCACACAAAGTGGTAACTTGAAGGATAACTCGATGAATGCACCACTGCATATTTTCTGAGAACAGGTAACTTCATTTTACTTCACTTTGTATCCCAGCTTTAAAGTCAAGGACTGGCCTGTAGTAGGACTTCAGGACGCATTAGTCCAGCACATGGAGACAGGAGAAGCGGAAGTCATTATGCTCTGAGGAAATATTATTTACTGTCAGGTTTATCCTACAATTCAGCATGAGCTTTCTTCAATCGAGGGGAGGGAGAGGTGTAAAGGCGGATAAATTGGAGAAAGGATGATTCCCAATTTTCAAGCAACCCTACTCAGCTTATTTCTGTCCGTGATGCCAGTCAAGAAAACATGGAAAGAGGAAAATTAGTTTTGAATTTCCTATTCTTTGTGCGTTGACCATTTCCCTGCCTCTGCCCACCCCCCCCAACACACACACACACACACACGCACATTCCCACTCACTTCGGGCCCTCCCCTCAAAGGTATCTTTCTTATTTCTCTTCTTCAGGATTTAGGAGTACTCTGCCCCTTCCCCTGCCTGCAGGTCCTTTACTAAATTAATCTAGCAAGTGCCTGTTAAAGGGCAGGACCAGAGGCTACTTGCTGCGAAGCCCCACCAGAGCCCCACCAGCGCCGAGTAAGGTTCCTCTACCTCCAGTTCCCCCTGTGCCGGAAGTGGGGCTGAGCGTTCAGGCGGTGAGCAAGGAGCGGAGGGTTAGGGGTAGGCACCGGGAAGGCCTGGAGATTTTCTGAGAGCAGGGAACGCCCGCGCTGTGTGCTCTCCCCAGGGGGCCGCGAGCTATCTCCGCCCTCGCAGGACCCTTTGCAGAAGCTGCAGCCTCCACGCCGCGCGGGGAGTACAAGGCCCAGTTCAGGGCCAGAGCCCTGTTTCAGCGTGATCCCCGCAGCCTGCACCCATCCCGCAGACCGCCACGTCTCTCCCTCCCTCCTCCGCACCCCCAGCCGACCCCCCCCTCCCCGTGCGCGCGCCCGCGCCTACTCACGTCGGCGCCTGGCGTGCCCGGCTTGCCGGGAGCTCCTGGCTTGCCCGGTTCTCCAGCGGGACCCTGAGCAGGGAGGGGGAGAGGTCGGGAGAGAGAACGATGGAAAGTTGAGATTCTTGGAAGTCACGTGGCTGCAAACCACCTCTAAAAGGAAGAAGTGAAGAGCGAATGCATTGATCAACTTACCGGGGGGCCTGGGGGACCCTTTGGACCTCGGTCACCCTGCAGGGGTAGTAGAAAAAGCAAGAGCAGTCCGTGAGTGGGAGGCGCTGAGGACCCCGCTGGGAGACTCCCACGCGTGTTCACCACACAGCTCGGGGACGGGGACAGGGTAAAGCTAAATGGTGGAGATCCTTGACCAGCGGGGACAACTGAACGTGTCTACCTCATCCCTCCGAAAATCCCCAGGCTTCTACAGAGGCTCCAACCCAGCTCTCACCCATGCCCTAGCCCGCCTTTGGATGGCGGGCATCTGGCCCCGTCAAAAACCCATCCCGCTGGAGAAAGGGTAGGAAACGGTGGGACTGGAGGACCAGAGGACTGGAGATAGAAACTTACGTCGATGCCATCGATGCCTGGAACTCCAGGGGGACCCGGGGGCCCGGGGGGACCCTGCTCGCCCGGGGGACCTCTCTGACAAAAATAGCACACACGGATTAATGGAGCACGTTGGGCAACAACAAGAAACTGGCACGATGTCCTGAGGCCCCCACCTCCACCGGTAAGAACACTTCCCTTTGGGGGACGGAGTCTTGAAATCCAGTAAAACTCCAGTATAAAACTCCCGAGCGACCCCAGGTTTCTTTGGTTCCGCCATATTCTGAATGAGGCTTAATAGTGTGGTTAGAGCAGAATCTAGGCCCCACGGTGGGCACTGGGGTCACACGGCCTCGCCCCTATAGAAACCATTAAACCAAAAGAGGTCTTTGAAGAAGCGAGGGGCTGACGCCTCTTTTTTTTTTTTTTAAGGGACTCAGTAATGAAAATGGTGGTCATTCACTACTTGGATTTGATGAGTAATTGAGAGTCAGTGTTTTGGCTGAAAAGGAACTACTCAGACTGGAGGCGCTCCACCTCAGATCGAGTACAGGATCGTTTTGTAAATCTTTCTACGTGCAGTAGAAATCAGGGAGAAATACGGGAGGAAAACTCGGGAGGATTGGGGCAAAAGAGCCTTGAAACCCAGAGAGGACCTGGCTTCATTTCGGATTTACCTGCACTGACACTCTCTTGCATAAGGTCTTTGCACCTCGCTTTAAAACTACACCAAATTTCAGACTGACCCTAGGGTATTACTGCTTTTATTGCTTGCAAACAGCCAAGCTTTGATGGTGCCAGAGGGAATACTGGCGACTCAAAATGTGTGAGCACGTTGCTTAGGGTATGTGGAATTTTTTTTTTTCTCTTCTAATTTAAAAGAGGAAAAAGAAAGGGGTAAAAAGATTCTTTCATCAAGGAAACTTTGTTTTTCTAAACTCCAATGACCAGACAGGTTACAATGGGGTCTTTGTAAGTGAAACCTCAAACCGCATCTGGGCTCACCCGCCCCCGCCGGGTCCTCTCCCGCGCGGGAGGGAGTAGACGCCGGAGCCTTCGGGAAACTGCTGAAATTTTGACTGATGCCAGCCAAGGCCGCCGGGTTCCAATCCCAGAGCGGCGGGCACCACTAGCAAGGCTCGCGGTTTAATGCTGCTACCGCGGGCTGGTGGAGCTTAGCGGAGGGAGGGAGCTTAGCGCCGCTAGGCTGAATTCCCGCCTTCTGCAAAAGGGCCTGCTCTTGAATGCAACCAGGAGGGGCGGGGTGGGGGAGTTAAGAAGCAACCGGTTAACCGCCCAAGTTTAGTGACCGGTCCCCAGTCACTAATGGTCTTCAGAGCCTCTGCCTGCAGTGTTGGGGCCCAGGTGGGGGAGGAGATGCCTTTCCCCACCTAAGGGTCATCTGGGGTCCCCGACTCCGACGGTACTCGCTGCAGGTGCTCAAGGCTGGAGGAAGAACGCGGCTGCAGAGCCCAGGGAAAGCTCTGCGCCTTCCCCACAGCTCCCGCGACGGCCGTTCCTCCACTTTTCCCTGCCTGCACTTGAAAAATGCAAGCACTTCTCGCCCTCCGCTTACCTGGTCGGTGGTCTCGCCGGGCTGGAGAAGAAAAGACAGGGAGAAAGTGAGAAGGCTCTCCCCACCCCCCACACTCGCGCACAACTTACTTGAGCCACGCACAAGCAGAGCCCAGACAGCAGCAGTGGCAGCCCTAGGGCCCCTCGATCCCGCGCGGTCCAGGCCATGCCCGCCACCCTCTGCTAATCCCCTGGACGGACTCTGCCTCCGGCCGCCCCGCTGGGCTTCCCGGACCCGTCACACGCCTAAAGTGGTACTTCTCCCCCGCAAAAAGCGCCCCCGGGAGTAGTTCTTTACAAAGGTGCCCAGCCAGGGAGGCGTACGTTTCTTCTGTTTATGAATGGCCCTGAGAGGGTCCTGGGGATTGGAGGAGAGCTTGCGGGCTGGGGAACGGATAGAATGACAACAGTCCCCCTTAACCCTTTCCCCGCCGCCACACAGGCAAGGCCTGAAAGGTGCACCTCCGCCTCTGCCCATCTGTCCAAGTGTAGTCTCTCGCTGTCCACTGTGGGCGACGAATGGACTGCCAGTGTTCTTGGAGAGATGCTTGGGGGAGGAGGAGTGAGGGTCATAAGCCACCGAAGGTAGAACCAGACACCCTGAGGTGGTTTCTCCTTGCCAGGCTGTGGGTGGGACCTGTGCTGCCTTAATATCTATCTGGTCCCTACAGTAAAGCCTGAACTCTTTAGAAAAAGAGTGAGGAGGTGGGGAGTTTAAGGAGGTGGTGGGAGGTAGGCTAGGTGGAAGTGTAGGTGGTCAAGGGACTCACAGTTATTCGGACTGGCAGCTCATGGCAAGTTTCTCTACTGGGGCGTAGTGGGTCACAATGGATCAGCATCCACTGAAGTTCAAACTGGAGAAAGACAGCAGACAGTCAATTCAGATTCTAGAGGACAGAAGCAGGTCATTTAAGAGAGAAGTTTGTAAGTGTGGTCCAATTGTTAAGTGACTGGAGACCAATTTGAACTGGTTGACCTCAGTGGACCAGTACTCTTGTTCCTTGAATACAGATTTTCCAATGGAAATGGGCTGGAAGCCCTTCCCAAGTTTCTCTGATGACGGAATGTAGATGTCTGTAGCTCTGCAGTATTCCATCGTAGCCCTTGGCAGGAACAGACCACTGGCACTGACTTTCCATTTCTGTCCTTCCACATCCTTAAGATGTAGATTCTATTCAAATGAGGCCCTGTGCAAACAAGGAACCGGCCAGGTCACAAGCCAGTGTGAGGGTCTAGATTGGAGCCCAGGCCTACTGAACTTCACAGAGAACACATGCACTAAGGGTTTACATGGGGGAAGACTAGAGACAGAGACAGCCAAAGAGGTGGCACCTAGGAGGAAAAGGAGAGGAAAGAAAATCCAGTCCTAGAAGAAATTTGGACGCTAGAGAAGACATTCTCCATGGAGTATTCACAGCTTAAAATGGAAATAGGAAGGACTGGAAATGGAGGGAATGAGAGGGAAATCTAGAACTCAGGGAAAAAACAAGAGAATAGAAAGCATTTAAATTTAGTGTTATCTCATTCATTGGTTGAAGAGATATAAAATTTTCAGACACTTGAAATCCAAATGTGCCCTGACAAGTTCTTACATTTTAGCAGGTGTTAAGAGAGAAAGAAGGGAACAGGAGAGAAACAATACAATGGAAGAGTGACCAGGTCTGAAGCTGAAGGCCTCTGGTGACAAGGTGAGGGGGGAAAAAAAAAAGGTATACACCACCCAGCACCTCCATTCTGGCCCATCTTCTTAAATTGAGGAAATTCCTTGTTAGTCATCTCAAATCAGATCTGTATTTCTTGGTCAGCTGATTCTTCTGGCATTATGCAAATATCTAATTAATATCAAGGTCCCAAATCCAAAACATTATGTCTTTTCTTTCATCCAGTAGTGATTTACACTCCATCCCACCTGCCAAAAGGTCTCTAGATCTGCTGGATCTAGCATTAAATTAGATACATTTTTTTTTCCATTTTTATGGAAACATCCAGAGTTGAGGTTACTGAACAAAAGATCAGACTTGGAGAGGATGAAGGATGAAGTCCTTCCCTTCTACCCATAATGAAGGGAAAGTTAAACAAAAGGAAGTTTTCCATTTTATGAAGGGGTGAAAATAAGACATTAAGCTTTCAGATTCCTGCATTTGTACCTCTTCTTAGATGATTCTAACTCTCCTGGTTGCTCTTAACCCTACCATGGCTCTTCTCCAGAAAATATGGATATCTGGAAAAATGAGGTAAGTGGGGTGAAGAGAAAGTGAACAGCTAACCCAAGATATATTTTAAGATGGAAAGTTCTCTATAAATTGTATGAAAATTGTGTATTCATGGTATGAATTATTTAACAATAGTATACTGACATCCTACAAGAGAACTGCTTATTAAGCCACACAATTATCTTACAGTTAAGCATATCACTTTGTCAAATACTTTATCTTTCTTAGAGTAGTCTCATTTGCTTGGGAAGGATTTTATTTTGGTTTTGTTCTAAACTGCAGTGGAAATTTTAGTAGGAAGACAAAAGAAAGAATGGGACAATCTTCTCCTTAATGACTACTAAATACCTAGCTGTACCTCCAACAACTCTTTGAAGCTCACGAGTAAAGCGGGGCAAAGAGGTTAAACCACTTGCCAGAGGTCACACAGCTAGTAAAAGACAGAGCTAGCGTTCCAAATGTGCCTGATTGTGAAATAAGGTCTTCTCTACTCCTCTACGTATCCTCCCCCTAGAATACATCCCATCTCCAGAAAGAGCCATCATGTCCTAAGCCAGTAACCAAGGAATTTGGTGATTGAACATTCGTATTAAAGATGAAGAGAAAAGAAGAGTGATCTAGAAATTAAAACTTTGTAAGCTTATGTCCAACATCTGCTAGAAAACCTCAAAACAAGACTAAGGAACTTCCCTAAGGATTCAGACCTCTCCCTGCTTTCATGATTGTTATGCAAATACATCCAGAGGCAAATTTCTAATGCTTCTCCGAAAACTAACAACTATTTCTATATGCAGTTACATATACATGTGTATAATAAAATATCAAATAGGAAAGGGGGTTATAATTCTTGTTCTTCAATGATTAGATAAAAATATTACCAGAATAAGAAAAGGTATCTCCCCCTCCCTAATTCTCAAAATAAGAAAGACCGTTCATGTATTGTATTCACTAAATCCTTTGTGAATTGGTAATTCACACTAGGCATGCATTGTATATGTTTGATATTTTGATTTTCAAAAAAAATTCATAGCCTAATCACCTTGAGAAACTTTAATTATATGGCTAACCAGGAAACCTATATCCTTTGTTTAGATACTTCATTAAAGTTACTTATTGTAAATGCAAAGTAATTCATTAAGCTGTTTTCTGAAAAATGTAATTCTCTCTGGATAAATTGGTACACCTGCTTAAATATGCAAGATGCAATTGTGGCACAGAATAATGGGGGAATGAAATGCAATTCATCTGTGAATACAGGCTGGGTTGTTCAGAGTGCCACATAGATCAAAGGTTTCTGCACACATCTGTGCATCCACATAAACACCACCCACGCACTAATAATCATCTATACAACAGCCATTTTTTGGCATGCAATATGAATTCCAATTTGCATGTTAATTATTTTGAAGGAAGATTGGCAGAGTTCCTTACTAAAAGTCACTTTCATTACACATCCAAAATGCTGATTTCCACACGTTTCTCATCTTCATACCTGGAATCACTGTTCTCTTTGAATATCCACTGACAAAATATACGTGACAAATATTTTAATTTAGTCCTTCAGTTAACATTTTTGAAGTCCTAATATAAGCCACACACTAGGATAACATTCTAGGGAAACCAAAGATATTCTCCTCCCCTAATGAGTTTATAGTTTGTAAGACTTGAAATAAATACAAGTAGAGAAATAAAGTTTTTTTTTTTAATCAGTTAAACAGAATGTCCTAGCACAATTCATCCTTCTCAACATAAAATACCTCATCATTGTCTCAGGGAGAACTGAGTTGTGTGATTGTAAGGTGCCTTACGTGACCCTGATTTGGCATTATCCGATTCTTTTCTGTAGAACATGAAGGTATAATTCCTATCTCCTAAGCCAGAGTAGTGTCCAGCAGACAACACATTGAAACAAGGAATTTTGGCACCAACTTCTACTCTTCTAATAGTGCTAGTGATTTCTACTTATTTTGCTGGGTTGTTGAGAAAAATTAATAAGGTATGTAAGCTCTTCTTAAATTTAGGCAAAAACTAATATTAGACAACTATCTTTTCCTCGTGAGAAAATTCTAATGACAAACTATAGAACTTGGTTCAGTATTATTGAGAATAGCACAAGTCTTGATTTTTTTGCATACTGAATTATTAAATTTTACAATTATAAAATATCTAAAAACTAGCTCTTCGAAGACAAGTTTTTTTAACAGGAGAAATGTTTCATTAAGCTTTTGTCTACTCACTCAGTAGCAACAAAGATTTAAAGAAATACTTGAACTCTGAGATCTCATTTTTCTTTTCATTTTATGACCAAGTGTTGGTTTTTACCATCATGAGGGACCTCCTCCAAGTGAAGCTTCCTAGTTGCTAAGCAGGAGGCTCTGAGCTGCCCTGAAATCAGAAATTTCCCCAATTCTCTGTAGACTAGGCCCTGCAGTTTCAGACATAGTGCTAAGAATTGTCATTAAATATGAGTAGGGGACAGTCATCTGAATCATACCAAGGGCAGAGGCAAAACAGTGAAAGGAAAGAGCAGTAGACTTAGAGTTAGCAGACCTGGCATATAGTGCTTTGTTCATCTTTTTATCCAGCATATCTTTATATAACACACTCATGAGCTTTGAGATAGAAACTATGGAAGACACAAAAATGTTTAGTGTTATCTAGGCCACAAACTGCTTTTGACAATATATAGTATTGCCGTTGATATACAACATGGCGAAGGTCATCAGCAAGGGGATCATATAACCTGTAACATGTGAGTGAGGCCCTGAAGAGCAACTGAGATTCTCATAAGCAGAGATGGGGAGGGTAAAGGTTAGAGTTCTAAAGAGGTGATAGTAGCACAGCACAAGAGGAGGAAATGATGTATACAGAAGAGATCCAGTTCACTGTGGCAAACAGTAGACATTAGATGTTTTTTCCTCTGTTGAATTCTAAGCTAAGGAATTTGAGTAGTATTGGATAGCTAATTATTGGACCATCATCAAAGATTTTTCTGCACCAAGGATATGGATGGGGAAAGGTGGCCTAATTTAAAAGGGCACTTCAAGGGGATTCACATGGTAATAAATGCCTGATCCTTGGAGTCAGAAAGGCTACTTTAGTAGAACATAAAGGAATGTTATACTCTCAGCTATGGTAAGGCATCCTCTGTTATCTACTCATTAAAAAAAAAAAAAAATCATCCCCTCCTGCCACATCCCCCTTCAGCTGCCATCTCGTTTTCTGCTCTTCTCCATTAAAAACTCAGAAGAGTTGTCTGTATTTGTTGCCTCCATTTCCTATCCCTTTTATTCTCTCTTGAAGCCTTTCCAACTGGGCTTTCACTCCCAATACTCCAATGGGTCTTTTCTCAAAGTCACTCTCATGGGTTTCTGAATCCAATATCAAGTCTCAGGCCTCATCTAATTTGATCTCTCTACAGCATTTGGGTGAGTTGACCATTCTCTCCTCCTTAAAATTCTATTTCCCCTGACTTTCAGAGTACCACAGTCTCCTGATTCTCTCTGATATCACAGGCTGCTCTTTCTGGTCTCTTTGGCTGAATCTCCCTTATCTCAACAACCTTTAAATGTTGGTTGTTTCACAGTTCAGTTCTAGAACTTCTCTACCACATTCATCGCTCAGCGATTCATCTCACTGCA